GAAAGTTCGGCAAACCCTGAATTTACTGCCAAACCCCATTAAAGTCTATAGAAGGCAGGTATTGATAATATATTGAAAGCTAAAAGACAAGCTGTTGTCAAAAAGTGCTGGTACTGCTGTTGGGGACAGGTATTAATACATGTATAATAATATTATAAATTTTTAAGAAAAATGCCATACAGCCAGGAGAGGTTCTTTTCAGGTGGGTAAGTGAAGACAGCGTTAGAAATACACAAATCCTTTAAAGAGCATGCTTGGGGGGGTACTTTAAAGCTGTATGTTGTGTTACAGAACAGTCAACAACAGCATACAATGGCATCATATATTTGGCTGTAATTTGTTGGGTTTTTTTTATTTTACAGTTAGCTTGACTTCCATACAGTGGTGCCCCAATCTGATTCCTTGTAGCTTGGAAAAAAAAGGACATAAATTCTAGACAAGGCTGCATGCTTTTCAACATTGGCAAGAGGATTCCTTGCAAAGTGGCTGCAACTCCTCCACCCCCTTGCAAGTACCTTTGTCCCAGTGTTAATAGACAAGGTCCTCTTCCCCAACTCAGGTGCTCCAAGAAGGAGGTCTGGCCACATTCAGTCTGATCTTCAATCTGGATTTTCCTTTTTTTTCTTTTTTTACATTTTTATATACATCACAAGGGTTTAAGGGAATTTTTATGAAGCTCTGTTTAAGAATTAAGTGACCACAGTATTCTGACTCAGATTGTTGTATCAGTGATTTATCCCTTGCTGAGACCTCTATGCCTGCCCTGTATAAGCAGATCACTGCTGACAATCGGTATCAGGTAGCTGAACTCACCAAATACCTTTTCATTCACTAAATGCTTTATTGCATGCAGCAAGTTACAGGAGATGAATGAACAGATGGTATTTGAAGATCAGAGATGGTAATGTTTACAAGCAAGAATATACATGTGCATGTGGCCATATTACAGTCAGCCATGACACCAAAAACGACTACATCATGAACAAATGAAAATAATGGGAGGGAAAACAGAAAATGTGGTGCAATAATCAAAACGACCACAAGATTTTAGTATAATAACCAGCTATACTAATACCTAAGATAATGGCTTAAGGAAATTAGCTATATAAATTCTCACTTCACAATAATATGAACATTAACTATGACTATGTATTGTCATATTTTTACAACTGTGTAACAGCACACACAGATAATGCAGCAATGTACAATTGGCCAACAGCAGGTTTGTACCGCTTTTGGTACAAAATTCCTGACATAATCATACCGCCAGGGAGGTTAATGAAGAAGAATTGGCCAGATTGTGCCAGAAACAAAGAGCACAAGTAGGTATTTCACTACTAGAAAAAGGAGACCACAGATGGCACAGCAGTGTAAAATTGGGCAGCAAAAGAATAATTTTAATGAACAAGGCATGGCCCCACATTTACTAGAGATAAAGTGCGCAGTTGGGGATTTGCTACAAGAATTAAGATACTGCAGAGGATACATTAATGGCCAGCAGCAGGACAGTTTTAATCACCGATAATAGGCTTAACCAGTGTATACCAAACTTTTGTTTTTACTATGGAGATAGGAGGGTATAGTGAATATGGTTAATAGTGGGAGGTGATTTAGGTGCACACTTATTTTATTCTTAAGCTAGGAATAATAAGTAAGGTAGCAAAAGGATTGATTGCCAAAGTTAGCAATCATAATTAAAGTACAGTTTCCTAACTGAAACTAATCTTTCTCAGTTTGTTAGCTTTTCCTATCCTGCCCCTGCCACAACTTCTACACTGATACTATGTCTGCTCTGCACCCACCCCTTTTATATTGAATAGGCTGGTACATAACAAAGCCCCAATATTCTAAGCCAGCTGATCTAGGTGCATAGGCCCTTGCAGCTCAGTGCAATATCATTACAATATTTTAGGGCATGCAAACTAATGCTTTGTTTCAGCCGGTAAGCAAACTGCGAACAAGTTGGTTTCACCTGGAACCTATGCTAGACCTGGACCCAAACCTCATTCCTACTTGGCACTCTTGATCTTTATGCCTTTTAACAAATTGTAGTAGAGGCAAGAGTTTTACAGCTTGATTGTTTGTGACTGTAAGAGGAGGCAGTGGAAAAGTCTTATCTCATTTAATCTGGCAGGGGTCTACTTGTGATCTGAAAGACAGGTCATTGTGGGGGAAGGGCATAAGAAGGAATTAAGCCCTTCAACCCTACTCTAATGCAGACAATTTTACATACACTTTAAAATCCTGAAGTAAGTTCTTTCAGATACTTATAGCGCTGCAGCTTTTTGTTAAAAATAAATGACTAATCTTACCCCGTTGTTGGGTAGAATACATTTTATGTTGTAAAAGACTCATAGCGATTTAAGACATGTTCTTTGGATTTCTAACAAGAACATGCACCACACTGCTATTCATTGGTGGTTTAAATTTGGTTTCTCACTTAATCCTTGGAACAAGCTGTTAATTGGATCAGAGTGGGGGAAGGCTGTCTACGCAGTTGGAACACTGATAACTGAATATGACAGCTGAGCTCGCTGAATATAAGGTAGAGAGGAGCAGATCATTCTGGCAATTTATTCTGATTTTCTCACTTTTTAGAGGTGGCAGGACTAATTATAGGCATGTTGGGTTTTTTTTCCTTTGACATTGAACATTGTGTTAATGTCATTTAGTAAGTGCAGGGAATCAGCAGGGGGATATGAGGAGTTATAAGGCTTGCTTAACTACTTCTTTTACCTGCAATCATTTCTGTAAAATGCACAGTTTTTGTATCTTTTCTGTCATTTGCTGAAAATAGCACAGGACATTTAGTTTAACCTGAGTTTAAAACATTTTTTTTTAAATGAACAATATGCATAGAGGTATGTGCATTGTTCAATTGTTCTCCACCATCTTGGCTTTACACTCTTTAGTCTGTCACAGATGAACTGTTAAACAGGTTTATTTAATAAGATAATACAAGAAGAAAAGTATTAAGTACAAAGTGCAGTACCGATAGCAACCAAGGCGAATCCATCTTGTATTGGTGTAAATTGCTTTATTCACACCCATGGAATAATTCTGCCTCATGGAGAACTTTAAAAAAAGGATGGTTTTAATATTTGTACAGTTTACCAGTATCCCATAGTTGGAGAGAGCCTTCCATATTAGCTAATAGCTGCCAATAAACCTAGTACACCCACCAATGTTCTTGAGACTGAGTAAGTGGATCTTAGCTTAGACAAGCCTTAGAGGTTTAGAGATTCTGAACTCAAGTAGGCGAGTATATCCAATATTTTTCAAGTGAGCTGTAAATGCCACACCTGCACAGTTTTTCACAACAAATTACCAATATTTAAAGTGGGATTCTATACTACTGAGGCATATGCCCCAATATGTCAGAGATATAGCAATAATTTAATTTAATTTATTAATAGAGTAAGGAAGTCCACAGATTATTTTTAAAGTGCATATGGTAATGAGCTGCTTTTTATTAAAGGGTGAGTGTTATATTCTATTTATTTTGAACATTTGTATGTATGCCACAGTACTGTAGATGAGGGATCGGCCTCATTGGTAATTCCAAAACTTCTGCTAATAGATGGATAATGGCAATGCTTCTCTCAGAGTGGAGTAATATAGACATGAAAGTCAGCACTTAACATTGCAGTCCACTTAAACCATCTTTATAACTGCCATATAGTATGTGGGATACAGCAACATTAATTCTTATGTGTTTTAACCACAACTGGTCTTAACCATAGGTCTTATTCATGGCTGTAATTAAGACCAGTTATGGTTGTTGCTCTCTCCTGCATATGTTGGTGAACGTATTTTAGGTGGATGACACTGGTGAGAGCTGGCCTTTGTGTCTGTATGTATGCCACATTTAGGTAATGCTCAGGAGCTAGTATATACAACACTTCTGTCCCTATCCTTCAACTACACCATTTGCCACAAGTTGAAAAAATAATTTAGAAATTAATAGCCCATCAGTCCTATCTGGGCCAGTTTTGACATTATTAGCTCCTTATGGTGACAAAAGTAGAAAAGACTCGGTTGCAGCTGCAATTTTTTTCAAGCACCTGACTCTTGGGCCTTAAAAAATTGCTCTAAGGCTAGATCCATGCAACAATAGCCAAATAACCCTACACCATGTCGCCATTCGAGCCTTGTTACCAAAATCCCTGCAATGCTGGTAGAGGGGCATTGTTCACAGAATTTGTGTTATGTTTGAATCCCAGCCAGATCACTATCAGTTTGCATGTTCACCCTGTGCTTGTGTGGGTTTTCCCCGGGTACTCCGGTTTCCTCCCACACTGCAGAGACATGCTGTTAGGTTAATTGACTCTGGTCTAAATTGGCCCCTATATGTATGCATATAAGATAGGGACCTTAGTTTGTAAGCTCCTCGAGGGCAGAGACTGATGTGAATGTGCACTGTGTAACACTGCGTAAATTATCGGTGCTACATAAATACCTTTAATAAATAAATGTTATCAGAAGGATCATGCTGCAAGAGAAGGCCATTTTGAGAGATGCCTGTTTGGACAATCCATCGCTTTTCTTTCTTCTTCATCTTGTACTCTAATGCAACAATTACAGGTCTATTCACAAAAGGGTGAAGAGTTTGGAGAAGGCAGGAGAAGTGAACAATCTAGGCCAAAATAGCAGATTTGGAAAAATTCTCCAATTCAGCTCACTTTCCAGTTCACCTATGCTGTCCTAGATTATTCACTTCTCCTGCCTTCTCCAAACTCTTCACCCTTTTGTGAATAGACCCCTTAGTTCTAGTACAAAACACATATTAAGGAAATTATGTTTTTCACAGCATTTCACATCTTTTCTGTAAAGCAGTGCCATGTAGCCCTGACTAAACAGAATGTATACTCTATTATGTGTGTGAATTCTGATTGATAGCAAGCATTACAGGTACAATTTGTCTTATGAATGTACCAGATTTACTTTGTTCCCTTGATCCTTTTTAAATAAAATGCACACAAATGTATTTTCCCTTTCAGCTTTCTAATTCATCCTTCAACTGGTATCATTTACACTCAACCCTGGGCCTCTCTTGATGCTGAAGATAACGTTAAATACAACTTCTATGTCAAAGCTGAGGATACTGAAGGGAAGTATAGTTTAGCTGAAGTATTTGTTACTGTACTAGACATCAATGATCATTGCCCAGAGTTCAGTGAGAACATTCAGGAGAAAACTATGGTCATAGGATCTCCAGTGAAAATAGAGGTATGTAATTGAACATTATAAATTGTAAATTTCACTAATTTTGTGGTATAGACAAAAATAATAGAACAAGTAAAACACACACACACACACACACACATCAGAGTATTGATATTTCAAATTAAATTAATGCTAAAAGCTTATTTTTTTGAAAGTCTTTAGCCACAGATGGAAATGTATTTTCAGACATATTTTTTAGCTTGCAAAACCCACTGTATACTATTATTATTTATTATTATACAGGATTTATATAGCGCTAACAGTTTGCGCAGCGCTTTACAATATAAAGAAGACATTACAGTTACAATACAAGATGGTAAGGAGGGCCCTGCCCCTGAGGGCTTACAATCTGAAAGAGGAGGGGGAAATGATACATAAGGAGGGAGGTGTGAAGGGATGAATTATTTGAGAATGTGAAGGTTCAGTGGTTAGGTCGAGGTGGGATAGGCTTCCCTGAAGAGATGAGTCTTTAGGGAACGCCTAAAGGCAGTCAAGGTGGAAGATAGAGGGACAGGTTGGGGTAAAGAGTTCCAGAGGATGGGAGAGACTCTAGAGAAGTCCTGGAGGCAAGTATGGGAGGAGTGGATAAGGGAGCTGGAAAGCAGGAGGTCAATGGATGAGCGGAGGGGACGGTTAGGGTAATACTTTGAGACAAGGTCTGAGATATATCCGGGGGCAGAGTTGTGGATGGCTTTATACGTGACTGTTAATATTTTGAATTTTATCCTCTCGGCGAGTGGAAGCCAGTGTAGGGATTGGCAGAGGGGGGATGCAGACACTGAGCGGTTGGTAAGGTGAATGAGTCTGGCAGCTGCATTCATGATAGACTGAAGGGGGGATAGCCTGTGTAGTGGAAGGCCAATGAGGAGGGAGTTACAATAGTCAAGACGAGAGATAACAAGGGAGTGGATAAGTAGTTTTGCGGTTTCTTTGGTGAGGAAGGGGCGTATTTTTGAGATGTTACGAAGGTGAAGGCGGCAGGATTTGGATAGCGATTGGATGTGGGGAAGAAAGGTGAGGTCCGAGTCAAGGATGACACCTAGGACCTTGGCATGAGGGGAGGGTTGGATAGTTGTGTTATCAATCTCAACTGAAATGTTGGGGGAAGGTGCACGGGGTGGAGGAAATATCATGAGCTCAGTTTTTGAAAGATTGAGTTTTAAGAAATGTTGTGACATCCAGACTGATATGTCATTTAGTAGATTAGTGACACGCAAGGACACTGAGGGGGAGAGTTGTGGAGTGGAAAGATAAATGTGAGTGTCATCGGCATAGAGATGGTATTGGAAGCCATGTGAGGTTATTGGTTGACCAAGGGAGGAGGTGTAGATGGAGAAGAGAAGGGGTCCAAGGACAGAGCCTTGGGGGACCCCTACAGAAAGAGGAAGAGGAGGGGAAGAGTTAGAATTGTAGGTGACACTGAAGGAGCGCATGGATAAGTAGGAGGAAAACCATGAGAGAGCAGAGTCTTGTAGGCCAAGCGAGTGGAGTTTTTTGAGGAGCAGCAGGTGGTCAACAGTGTCAAAAGCAGCAGAGAAGTCTAATTGCAAGAGTAAGGAATAGTGGCCGTTGTTTTTAGCGGTTATTAGGTCATTGGTGAGTTTTAGGAGGGCGGTTTCAGTGGAGTATTTGGGGCAAAACCCGGACTGAAAGGGGTCCAAAATGTTGTTATTAGCGAGGTGGCAACTCAGGCGGTTGTAGATAAGGCGTTCTAGTAGTTTAGAGGTGAATGGGAGTAAGGAGATAGGTCTGAAATTATTGAGGTTGGTAGGGTCCAGTGAAGGTTTTTTGGGTATTGGGGTGACTAGTGCATGTTTGAGAGGGGTAGGAAAGATTCCAGTAGAGAGGGAAAGATTGAAAATGTGGGTAAGAGAGTCTAGGATAGAGCAAGAGGGTGACCGAAGTAGTTTTGAGGGAACAGGGTCCAGGGGGCAAGTGGTGAGGTGGGTGTCAGAGAGAAGCTTAGTAACCTCCTCTGTGGTGACAGGGTCAAAAGAGGAAAGTAACAAGTGTGATGGAGGATCAGGTACTATAATAAAAGGGGCAGTTGATTGGACAGTGGCGATCTGATCTCGAATAGCATCTATTTTGTTTTTGAAATGAATGGCAATGTCCTGGGCAGTGAGTGAGTTAGTGGGTGGTGGTGGTGGTGGAGGACATAGTAGAGACTTGAAGGTAGAAAAGAGTTGACGAGGTCTGGATGAGAGTGTGTTAATGAGAGTGACAAAATAAGTTTGTTTGGCAGCACGGAGGGAGGAGTTATATTTTATCAGGGCAGCTTTGTACAGGGTAAAGTCTTGCAGAGACCTAGTTTTCCGCCACAGTCGCTCCAGAGTCGCTTTGTCTTTTTTGATGTTTGGTAACTTCAGTTTACCACGGTTGTAGCGGACGTGGTCTAAGTCTGCGTGTAGTGAGGGGAGCCAAGGTGTCTAGGGAGGATGAGAGTGAGTTGTTAAAAACAGAAGTAGCCAGGTCAGGGCAGGACAGAGTGGAGAAGAGAAGGGTCGAGATGGCGAAGGTTTCTCCGGGTGACAGTGCCCGTGTAGGTGGTTTCAGGGTTGAGGACAGGGTGATTGTGAAACTGACCTGGTCTGAGAGTGGGAAAGGGTTGTTGGAGAGATTGCAAGGAGCGCATAGGTGGGAGAAAATAAGATCAAGTGTGTTACCATCAGAGTGAGTAGGAGTCTGTGTCCATTGAATTAGATCAAAAGAAGAGGTTAGGTTAAGAAATTGAGTGGAAGCCGGGGAGTTAATGTTAGTAGCAATGTTAAAGTCACCAAGAATGATAGTGGGTATTTCTGAGGAGAGAAAGTAGGGAAGCCAGGCAGAGAAGTCATCTAGAGAGCGAGATACTGGTCCGGGTGGCCGGTATATAACAGCAATCCTCAAAGAAATTGGAGAGAAGAGTCGAATACAGTGGGTTTCAAAAGAGGAGAGGGAGGTGCAGGCAGAATTTGAAAAGTGCATTGTGGGGATAGGAGGATACCCACTCCACCTCCTTTCCGTCCATTGGGTCTGGGTGAGTGTGTCCAGTGGAGGCCACCATAGGAGAGGGCAGCAGGGGAGGCAGAGTCGGACTCCTGAAGCCAGGTTTCAGTAACAGCTAGCATGTTAAAGGAATTGGAGATGAGAAGATCATGGACAGCGGTGAGTTTGTTACAGACAGAGCGGGCATTCCAGAGGGCACAAGAGAAGGAAGGACTGGTTCTAGGAAGCAGGGGAATAGAAATCAGGTTGTGTGGATTGCAGCTGCTGCCAGAGGAAAGGCAGTGCTGGTTAGGAAGGTGGGTGTTAGAAAAGAGAGGGCCAGGATTGGGAGAGATATCCCCTGAAGTCAGGAGCAGCAGAAGGGTGAGTGAAGTAAGATGAGAGGAATTTTGTACGGGTGAACATGCCTCAGTGTCCTGGAGGTAACTCTAGCATGTGGATTCAGAATGAGCAGGAGATGATGAGTGCAATTCGTTTAAAAGAAACCTGTCCATAGAATCTCTATTCAAACCTCACCACCGTGGGCAAGACCAAAGAGCTATCAAAGGACGTTAGGGACAAGATTGTAGACCTGCACAAGGCTGGAATGGGCTGCAAGACTATCAGCAAGAAGCTTGGTGAGAAGGAAACAACTGTTGGAGCGATTATTCGCATATGGAAGGAATACAAAATAACCATCAATCGCCCTCGGCCTGGAGCTCCATGCAAGATTTGGCCTCATGAGAAAAGTGAGGGATCAGCCCAGAACTACACGCGAGGAGCATGTGAATGATCTCAAGGCAGTTGGGACCACAGTCACCAAACAAATCATTGGTAACTCAATACACCACCATGGATTGAGATCCTGCAGCGCCCGCAAGGTCCCCCTTCTCAAGAAGGCACATGTACAGGCCCATCTGAAGTTTGCCAATGAACATCTAATGATCCAGAGAAGGATTGGGAAAAAGTACTGCGAACAGATGAGATCAAAATTGAGGTCTTTGGCATTAATTCGACTTGCCGTTTTTGGAGGAAGAAAAATGCTGACTATGACCCTAAGAACACTATCCCTACAGTCAAGCACTGAGGTGGAAACATTATGCTTTGGGGCTGGTTCTCTGCTAAAGGTACAGGCTGATTTTGCCGCATTGAGGGGCCAATGGACGGGTCCATGTATTGTATATTCTTGGATCAGCCCGAACACTGAGGATGGGTGGTGGATGGGTCTTCCAGCATGACAATGACCCAAAACATACCCCCAAGGCAACAAAGCAGTGGCTCAAGAAGAAACACATTAAGGTCATGGAGTGGCCTAGCCAGTCTCCAGACCCTAATCCTATAGAACATTTATGGAGGGAGCTGAAACTTTGAGTTGCCAAGCGACAGCCAAGAAACCTTAAGGATTCAGAGCAGATCTGTAAAGAAGAGTGGACCAAAATCCCTCCTGAGATGTGTGTAAACCTGGTAACCAACTACAAGAAACGTCTTACCTCTGTGCTTGCCAACAAGGGTGTCTCCACCAAGTACTAAGTCATGTTTTGCTTGGGGATCAATTACTTATTTTACTCACTGAACTGCAACTCAATTTATAACATTTGTATCATGTGTTTTTTTCTGGATTTTTGGTTGATATTCTGTCTTTATCATTTAAAATACACCTATGATAAAAATGATAGACCTTTAATTTCTTTGTAGGTGTCAAACTTACAAAATCTGCAAGATCAAATAATTATTTTCTTCACTGTATAAGGTCTTTTTTCAAATGAATTCTGATATCAAACATACCTAGAAACAGTGGCGTCACAAGGGCGGTGCAGGGGGTGCGGCCCACACTGGGTGACACCAATAGAGGGGTGACACCAAAATGACTGGCAATCATTTTGGCATCACCCCCTAGTGATGGACACCCCCAGTGTCCATCACCAAGATGGCCGCGGCAGGTATCTCAATGTTGGCCCCGTATGCGCTATGACATCACAATGGGGTGTCACCCGTCCTCGGGATGCTCCATCTAGAAATACAGGCAAAAGAAATGGGTAACTGCTTAAGGCAGCTGACAGAAAAAACATACCTTGTAAAATAAAGTAATATTTGGTAGCACATGAGTTACATTCTTAACGTATAACAGAAGCCAACATTTTTTTTAGTTTTGTATAGAGTCCTTACTATATAACCCCTGCTAGCGTTTCTTGCCATCTGTGTCCTATTGGAGAGATTTCCATTCACTTCCTGTCTATTTGCCACAACAAGAAGTAGAAGGAAATCCTTCCAAAGTGAGGGAAACCTCTGGTGGTCAGCAGGGTCACCAGAACTAGTGTCCTCATCTATTCCTGTTCTGGTGACGACCCACAATTTGGGATTTTCTTTCACTTTCAAAAATGGTCACCAGGACAAATAGGCAGGTGTTCTAATCCCTCACTATCCAAAACTGAAAAAATAAAAAACACTTTTTCAGCATGTGTTAAGATTGATTTTTAATTATTATTATTATTAAAGATGAATTACACTAAGCCCTAAATTGGTGACATAACATAAGTCCATGGACCTTGCATATTAGCACCCCTCCCAACTTCATAGGTAAGATTAAGAGGTCATTCACACAAGCAGCCTTGCCCAGAGCAGTCACAATGCAAAGACTTTGCTTACAATTAATGCAGTTCACACCACTGTGTTGCATGCAGTACTTTTTTCAGAGCAGCATGGTGCTAGACCCCCTCCTAACATTACGAAGAAGGAGAATCAAGTAGAATTTTTTATTTTTTATCTATGCTTATCTATGCTACCACAGTATCGCACCGCACTGAGGCCGATAGAACTGAATGAAATGTAACTTTATACCATTTTAATAACTTCTTACAAAAAAAGGTTATCATGAGATGCACTGTTTTCAGTGCTTCAATATCACAGCCTTAACAGAGCATGCCAGCAGCTGTATTCCAACTGCTGCTGTGTGCAGACCCTAAAGGATTGCATTTAGCGCTATAGATTACTAGGCCATGGCAAAAAGGTAACATTTTTGATTAGACTAGAGTTCTTTGAAGTGTTTGCCACGCACCAAACTTTTTTTGTTTTTCATAGAGTTGGGAAAGATTATAACCTGTCTGGTTATTACTTATACCAGTGGCAAATTTGCAGAGATTTTCCCTTATTTCCTGTCCTGCTGACAATGCTTTTACCATACAGTAAGTAAGAAAAGCATTTGCAACAGGCACACAGACTGAAGGAAAACTCTGAGAGGGGTTCTAGCCTTCGCCTACACATTTAAAAAACACACTTTTAATTTGTCTTTATGTTAAACATATTTGTGATGAGGCTTATAAGAATCCGACAGAAGGTGGGGAGTATACCGGTAAAGCTGTGGAGGAATCCAACCATGCCAACTAAAATTTGTTTGGAAAGGCTCTGCATGTGTAGATAAACCTATATTTAGGAAGTTCTAGATTGTTTTTTTTAAACACTTGCTGTATAGTAGGACGGTCACTCTTTCATTTAAGTAGGCTGGCTTCCCTAGCTCGGAAAAAACATAGTCAGAGGCTTTATCATAATACTTAATATATTAATATAATAAGTGTTACGATGACTACATTACATTCTAAACTCATTTTTTAAGGAACATGCTTCTTTTTGACCTGTTTTCCTGTTGTTTTGTATTTATGATTAGGCAACTGACCAGGATGCAGAAGAACCAAACAATGTAGTAAACTATTCCATCATGCAAGCTGATCCAGACAATGTCTTTGATATAGACCAGAATACTGGGGAGATAAAACTCAAGTCCTATATCAGGTCTCTGGATGTAATTCAGAACATCACCCGGAATAAGAACTGCAAGTGGTCTGTGGTTGTACAGGCAAAAGACAGAGGTTCTCCATCATTCAGCACTACTGCAGTGGTCAAGATTGATGTAACTGAAGAGGTAAGATTTCAACTGCTAAGGTTTTATTTTTTTAATTTATCATGTTTTTATTGCCATTTGTATTGGTAGAATTTCATCTTTTGACACGCAAAGGACAGGAAATCCATGAAGCGGGGGTGACACAGATCTTTACCCTACTCTACTGGAAAATGTATTTGCTTCTTTGTTGGAAATAAATTCCTCTCACTTTCTGATGCATTGAATCAGGCCACCTATTTTCAAGATTTGACATTCAAATATGTTACTAAACTATAGAAATATCAGAATAATTACAGATTATATCTGTTAACTAGGTTAATAGAAGTAGAAAGGGACAGGTAATTTGCTATATATATGTAAGTAAACCTATCCTATAACTAGTTAGAAAAAAAGGGAAGGTGAAAGTTGATAAATCTTCCTTCCCACAGAATTGCAGACATTGCAAGCTTGTGGTATTCTCTGCAGAGTGTTTTATCACCTATAACCACAAAACTGAGCCATGGTTTTGTCCTCTAACAGTACCCATTGTCAGCTTTATAAAAGGTCGTAATTGTTTGCAATGATCTGTATCATTTAATGTATTTGTGAACACTCAACACTATAAGGCCAAAGTAATACAGTGAACAGTATTTTATTTTAAGCACATTTAGTTTTTAAAAAAACAAATGGTATTTAGCCTTTTAATTTTTTTTAGTTCTATTTGGTGGTTATGTGACCGAACAACCTCATTCACGTTCCTCTTCCCCATAGTAGGGGGGTGCCTGTTGACTAAGGGGACGGGCGGTGTATTACTCTATCACTCATTAGGAGTTGCTGGGATTTAAAAGCAAGGTTCCTGCTGGGAGCCACTGTCAATCAACAGAGCAGGACTGAGCATGGGGGCTTTGCGGCCAAACTGACTATAGGAGATATAGGCATGTCGTGCATTGGTGGGGCATCCTGTAACTTACAAAGGGCAGCATTGATACACCAAATCGACGGCCCCAGCATGGATCTGCAACACCAAACAAATAAATAAAATGACAACGGAGTCAGTGTCGGACCTAAGGAACAAAGGGCCCTGGTGCAAGATTTTGGGCCCCCCCCCAAAAAAAAAAAACCAAACACAGCGCTCTCCTCCCGCAGCGCTCGGCCGGTTTTCACTTTCTATCCTCCCCGCTGGGACACAGAGCAGCGCCCAGCGGGGAGGAAAGAAAGCAGGGATGTGTTGCTGTATCGGCATAAAAATGGCATTATTGCTCTCACTGCGACGTTCGAGGCGATATGTAACATGTGCAGCACAATTGTCGTTTTTCGCACGTAGGCCCTCCGACACGTGTGTATCTGGGGGGACAGGGACTTAAACATTTTTTTTCCCTTTTTAAAAATTTTTTTTATGTTACTTTAATTTTTAAACACTTTTTTTTGTACACTAACCCTATTGGTATTACATAGGGGACTAACAAGCACCCTGTGTAATAGCAGATAGGGTGTGACAGGTCCTCTTTATGGAGGCATTAGGGGGTCTTTTAGACACCTAATGTCACCTAGAGACCCCAAACAAGATGAGGAAGCCAAGATCTGCTTTCCCAGCTTCTCGTCCTGGCTCTGAGAGCCGGAGACTGTGTACAGTGACACCGGAAGTGATGTAATACACAGCACTTCCGCGTCCAGTGATCGGAGGAGAGATCTGCGGCTGGTAGCGGCTGAATCTCTCTCTGATCATTGAGGGGAGACCCACCGACCCAGTGGCCGCTGCGGGGGGGGGGACCACACGGTACAAACGATCCAGCGGCTGTTCAGACACCAGATCGATTGCAAGTTACACAGCAATCGCCTGCTGTTAAAAGCAGTACCAAGAGCGAGGCTGCCGGAGCAGCCTTGTTCTTGTTTACCCACTTCTGCAGGCCGCCGTCTATAGACGTACTGCGGCCCGGACGTGGTTAAAGTGACATTAAAGTAAATTTTTCCCCCTCCCCCCAATGTAAATGCCAGCACTTACCTTAACTGATGTCTCCTAATCCGATCTTCTTTCCTGATGTTTTCATCTGTCCCTCCAGCGGTGCGGCGGGTCTCCGATCCAGCGCTGACTCCTCGGTCCTTGCTGGCACTTCCTGTCCCACAGCGTCTGCATTCGGGTGCACGCGTCCATATACTTACCTTGTGTCTCTCCTCATCCAAATCTGAACTGCGCATGCGCCCGCCCCAAGATGCTTTGCGGCCGCCTGAGCAGTTTCGGATTTTCGGACGGGAGCACGCGGCAAAGACGAGGTAAGCTTAAACCGCTGTTAAAGCGTTTTTTTTTTCAAACTTTTTGCATATATCTACTGCTTGCTACCCTCATATATATGCAAAAAAGCCAGAGGGTTTAATAACCCTTCAATACTCACCTGATCCCTGGAACGACCGACAAGCGCAGCGTCCCGACTCTCACGCTGTCACTATATGCATACAGAGCGTGCGGGTTACTATTTAAACCGGCGCGCTGTGTGCAGCTTCTGTGAAGATATGCTATTAGCATTAGTTCCGCCACTGAACGGAGCACATTTACACACAGTTACTTGGAAAGACAGACACCTAGGTGAAATTTACATTTAGGGGTAATCTACCCTTTTTAAGTGTATTTCCACTTTTGCAGTCTAATTTGAGAAAACCCCACTATGTTTGTTGTGTGTTCCCATTCACACAGCCACTTGTGTATTGCCACACTCCTCACCGGGTGACCCTTGATTCAATGGTGCGATGGTAACATTTGTGATATTGGTCCCATTCACACAGCATCACAAACATTTTTTTATCTTTTAGATGTTTTGTTGTAGCAGGAAAGATGGCTGAATCCAGTTTTTTTCTGAGCACCTTCACGGTGATCTGTCCTTATAGAAAGACTTAGGACAGAAATTTGTGGATTGTTTTTCTCTCGTTAACTTCATTAACATAAAATGGGGAAGCCAGAGTTGTAATTCTTCAACCCTTTGTTAGGACAGGCCGTGTTCAAATCTACTTTACAAATTATAATAAACAAACCCCTCACAACCCATCCTAACATTACAAAGAAGGAGAAGCAAGTAGAATTATTATTTGTTTTTAATCTATGCTATATGAACAGAAAGGTAACAGATATAACATAGGTGTTATCCCAATTTGGCTGCGAAAGTGGAATAAAATTTTGGGGAATCTTAAGCAATTTATACATAGTTGCAATATATTAATGCATTTATATTCAGTACAATTATTTTTGGAATCTGTAGATCGGTTGCTATATGACATGTTTTTTTTTCTTTTAAGAATTCAAACTTACATTGTTTCCTAAGCTATAACTTTAAGTTTTTAGGTATTAAATACTCCGTATTACAATTTTGTTTTCAGATTTGTTTTATCTCAGTTACTAAGGATTTGCAGTTAGTAAATTGCTTCAGATGATGGGATATGGGAGACTACAGCCAATACCATGCTAACACACTTCACCAACAGCAGTCACAGCCATGCCATGGTGGCAGTAGGAAGTTATTGTCAATGAATAAACAAGCGGTTATGTATTTCGTCCAGCCATACATGGAAAGGAAAAAGGGTTCATGATGTAAGAGAGTGGTTTTAAGAAAAGAGTAACCTACAGTATTACTTATTGCCCTGTTGCAGTTTTGGTATACTCAGATTAATGCTTGCTGAAAACAAAACCTGTATAATCCAAACAGGTGTAGATTATCCATTGGTGATCCTTGATCTAGGCTTTTTTCACACCTAGCTCCTCACCACTTGGCAGAAGTAACAATATCGTGTACTACAATGAATGAAACTGGGATAACTACAGACAAAAGTTCTGAAAATGTGTGGACCTTGTGTCATGTCCTGTATACTAGTCAGTGTTGGTTGTGGAGGTGTACCAAGCATATCTTCACACAAATAACAGCATTCAGTTAATTATCACTATACTTCATGGAGGTTTAGATGACTGAGGGAAGGGTACCCACACTTAAACTTCTTTTTTACTGCTATATGTTAAACCCCTTACCCATTCACTAAAATATTGCTACCCGACAAATTATAGTTTATTTAACAGGAATACAAAATAATCCAAATGAGTCTAGTACCAGCCCCACATCCATCATTCCAAACCCGAACCTAAGGTTAAATTGGAGTCATTGTACAAAAGTCTAAAATCAGTAGCAAGGATATTTTTAGTTAATTTGTTTTATGTTTGTGTCTTTCAAGTCTGATGTCTTTTAAGTTTTGATTTCTCTTTCCTTGTTTACAGTTTCACCTTTTGTATCACTTCATGCCAGTGTTATTAGGGAACCTTATGTTGTGTTAATGCATGCTACTCTTTAAAGTAGTAGTAAACTCTCAAACTTTTTTTATATAATGAATCCAGTTTAAACAAATCTATATTGTCCAGCAAAGTATTTCTTAAATGTTTTTGCCCAAGCACCTAGTTGTTTCTGAACAGCTGGCTCCAACTCTCTCAGCTCTGTTTCCCTAAACTAAACTTCTTGTAGAGTACAGGATCATAAGGGACAGAGCAGTCTCCAGCAAAGCATTCAGCAGCTGTCCATCTACTATATTGGAGAAGGAAAGAGGGAGGAGCAGGGGAATGTCTTGCCTTGCCATGTCTGTGTATTTGTGGAGACATACACAGCTTACTAGCACACACGAGGGTGGGTCCATAGGAAAGGGAAAGGAGCCACCCTAAAACAGGATATTAGGGCCAGTACTCAGGGGGCCAGCTGACTCTGTGGGAAGCTAAACATTTTAAGCATCATGGAGCAGCATTCATTACAAGTGATATAATCAGCATTTGAAAGATCTTAAAAATATTTATATATCACTTTGATATTGCATGGACGGTGTCTCGCCTTCTCAAGTTCCACAGTTGAAATAACTGTGGAACTTGAGAAGGCGAGACACCGTGGGACAGAGGAGGTATTCAGCATCCATAACATGACATGGAAAAAATGAACATTGCATTTTTGCGCTAAATATTGCAATGGTTAAGGGGAATGGTTAAATAGAATCTGAGCTTACATATTGTATATACTGTACACAATCTGCAATCCTTGTAAACTAGTAGTAAGTAATTACCATACCATCATAATCCTGTTTTCCTCCATGTCTCCATTCCCATATTACCTGTTTTCATGTTTGCCATTTCCAGATCAGAACGAGGGTAAAGTCTTATGTTTTGAATCTCAGGAAGCGACCATGGTTGATATTTGGAATTTGTATGAGTACAGTCCTCTCCAGCATTTCTGTTACTGTAGTGATTTCCACCATCATGTACTGGAAAAGTGTGAAAAGATCCAAAATTTATCCTAGAGGCAGAGTCAAAAAGATTGTTAGGGGACCACCAAGACAAGCCTTTTATTAATTGAACCAATATTTCTAAATGTACCCCACACTGTGTCAAATGACCCAATTGACTAAAATGTATGCATCCTAATCAGGTTCTTTAAATTATAATAAGCAAATATAGTCTGTAAAAGAGTACAAGAATGCCAAATGTAAACGTCTGTAAGTGACATACTTAATACAATGCAATAATGTTCCATGAGATGCAAGAAGATTCCAAGTTAAATTGATACCCCTCTTCTTTCCCAGTAACTGCTTACTCGGTGTAGTAAGAAACAGAGGCAGGTTCCTTTCCCATAGGCCCTGGGTTCTTTAGATTTCACGTACAACTACACTTGATGGTGATTTCTGGTCCAGTAAAATATATAATGTTATTTCTTGAGTGTCTTGTAATCCCTCAGCATTGAGAGATTCATTTTTGTTTGTTTTGACTTTGTGTAACTGATGTCTTGCATAATTATTTATGTTTGCAATCCATCATATTGGTGTTAAAGAACCACTGTCGTGAAAAAAAATTATTCTGAAAACTGTATGTAGTAAATGCAGGACATGTTTTTCTTTGTAGTTGAAAGGACCACTGTCAAGAAAATATTGATTTCTGATAAATGTACATTATTATTACATATGCTGATTATGTAATCATGAATATTGTTATTCACGATCATGGTTCTTTATAGCTAATGCAAATACATTTCAGGGAGAGGATTGTTGTATGTAAAATAACATTTTTATAGAATGACTCAGATATGCATTCCCCAAACCACTTCAGATGCTGTTATTAATCATCCAGAAAATCATAAGGTAAAGTGGGTGAAGGCATGCATAAGCACGAGTTGTGAATAAACAAGTCTTGATGTTATTTAGCTCTGGACTGTATCAATGCAAGCTGAGTTTTAGAGTTTACTACTCATTAGTGTGATGCCTTATTGCATAGCTATAACATGTTGAAGAAAATGGCACACATACAGAATGGGTAGAATCTGTCACATGTTATCTTTGTACTCTTTTACAGACTCTTCTACACAAGGGGCCTGTGGCTGCCTTTTTGATGCAAAGTAAAGATAACCCCATGAAAGCGTTGGGGGTGCTTGCTGGTGTCATGGCAATTATGGTGGTCATTACAGTCTTAATTTCTACTGCTATGTTTTGGCGCAACAAAAAATCTAATAAAATCATGCCTCTGAGGAAAATAATTAGAAGGAGAAGACCAGACCACCCCACCCGGACAATTAGGACAGAATGGTTGAAGTTTAAGAAATCTTCAAGTTCTTCAGAAAAGTTCGCCATGCAAGATATGGAAGTCAGTCTGCAAAATGAGAATGGTAATAACAACAGTCAATGTATCCCCTTCCCCCCACATGCCCCCTGCCCGCCTCCACCTCCACGTCTAATATCAAGACAGAGTAAGACAGAATGGAGCGTACCCACCGTCTCTGGTTCTTTGACACCCAAGATTATTGATCAGCAAATGAAACAGAAAGTTCCAAGTGCCAGTGCTGCTCTTGTATCTGAACTGAAACAAATGCTGGAGAAGAAAAATGCTGGGAGCTCAGTGTCTTTTTACTAGTTTTTCACAGAGATATGAAGGAAACCTTTTCTTCATTATATTGCACCAAGGTTCATTGTGTACTGTTTAATGTCTGAAAGCAAACCATGTTAAAAACTGAAATATACGACCTGTAAAAAAATAAATAAAATGTATTTGCTTTTAAAAGTATGCCGAGAAATAAGGAGCTATTTATCGTTTTAAAAATATGTAATGTATGTTATATTTAATACAGCACAAACTTTAATCCAGTTTTCTGTTAAATGCTAAAGTGTTTGTAAAGGCAAATGTTTTTATTTATAGTTTTGGATAGAGTGGTAAAGGTCTGACTCTCTTATTGCTCAGAAGTAGAAGATACAAAAAAAGAATCCATACCAATTTTTGTAGGGTCCAGTAAGATTTTTAATTAGATCATATTGGGCTGTTTTATGTTATGTTACCCCAATATGAAGTAATTAAAAATCTTCTTGAACACTACAAAAATTGGTATAGTGCTCTTTTTGCATTCTCTATATCTGGACTCCCCCTGGGGTGCTCTTGAAGGGTTCCTAGTTTACGAGAGTTGCCTAACCAGGACCAGTGAGCTTCTGAAATCAGAATTTTGCCTTGGTAGTTTTGTACCCCAATAGGAGACGATCCACTGCTTCCTATCCCATTTCTTTCAAGTTTTTACTGCTGTCTATGTACCCACTGGGGAGAGTCACCCCTCTATTTTTCCTGTGACTATTACCCCTGAGACAGGAAGTAAGGGGAAATCCAACATTTTAGAGTTGTCATCCACACAAGAGGTTAGGGAAAATCTTCAAACCGGGACACATGATTTCCTCTCATTTTCTGTTGTGTCTCCAGGACCTGAAGTAAAGACAGAGGACAGAGGCAGGAAAAATAACCTTTTTACCTTTTTTGTATTCAAGACTGGAAAAAAGCTTTGGCTATACATACACTTTAAAGCAACTTTGTCAGTAAAGTAAAATTCCACAATTAGGGGTTCCCTGCATAGAAGACATTCAATGTTAACCTTTTCTGCTGCCCACAACACTGATCTCTGCAGTAGTAAACAGAGGCAGTCACTTGAAGATCCCTCCTTGCTTTGTGGTTCCATCTGCTGGCCAAGGACACAGTAATGCCCTAAGGCAGGGGTGGCAAACTCTGGCCCTCCAGCTGTTGTGGAACTACAAGTCCCTTGAGGCTTTGCAAGATTCTCACAGCCACGGGCACGACTCGCAGAGGCAGATGCATCATGGGATTTGTAGTTTCACCACAGCTGGAGGGCCTGAGTTTGCCACCCCTGCCCTAAGGGCTTGTGGATCAAACCACAGAGTGAGGGGGGACACTGACACTCATGGAAGTGTTGGATTCTGCAGGATCTTTGGACACTGAATTATCTTCAAAACTACAGATTTCAGCAGCATGGTGAGCAGTAGAGGTAAGTATTCTATGTCTTTTTTGCAAGGAAGAGTAAAGTTTTATTTTAGTAACAGAGTCACTTTAAGCCTACAATGTTAGTTTTATATTTATTCTCCCCATACTGTCATTAGCGCAGAAAGTGAAAGTGTTAAGGATTCATCCTCTTGCCATTTTTCATGGGAATAAAAACAATGTACTTTACATTGACAAAATACAACTGTTTCTTCTACATATGCCTTGCAGATGATAAGTCCCACAAAATGGTATTTCAAAACCTAAGCATGATTAAACCCAAAATTGGCATATCAGTCCTGCATGGCTGCTGCTTTCATAAGATTCAGTGATAATGGTGATGAGACATCCGTCCATATTTTTAGGTCATGCCAAATTGCCACACCTATTGCAAAGCCTAGCTTTAGTTTCATGCTCTCCAATACATCAAATATACATTAAATGAGCAGAGTTTAATTATTAATAGTCCCAGTTGGCTGTGTGTCCATTGTCCCATTCATTCTTATGGATTCTTATGGATAATGCTAGACTTTGAAAATGCCACCCTCTGAAGGAATGAATGGGGCAAGTGGAATGTTTGCACAGTGGTTGCCCAGTGGGGACTATTTACAAGCAACGGCTGTGCATTGCGTCTGGAAGAGCTGCACAGTGAAGGTATTTGAAGCAGGACTAAATGTAAGTAACTTACCCTTCTGGTTACCCTGAGGGGGGATGTAGAATATAATTTTTCTAAAAACTGTCTATTAAGAGAGTAATACCTTTTGTAATGGCCTAGTGAATAGCTGAAAATACACAAACATCTACAATATTACTATTGTCCCCAAAAGATATAATAATCTGGTGCTTCTAAAACAGAAGTTTTGTATTTGAGTGTAATTGGCCTTTAGTTTTATTCTTTTTACTTTTTTATTTGTTGGTCAGTTAAAGGAGATTTTGAATCAGACAAATGGAAAAATAATGTGTTTAGCTTTTGTATTTTACTGTAGATAGTGAGGATTCCACAGTTAAACATTTTGGAAATGTTTTAGTTTTTTGATAGACCTCAAAGTGGATGCCCATTCTTATCTGACTTCTGATATTTCTTCAATGAATTTGAAATTCTGAAACTATAGCTAGGGTAAAAACTGAAATAAAGACTGTGGTTACTATCACCTATGACATGTATAACTGCAAACATCATAAACAGCTACCTATGCAAAGCCCTTAATAATGTTGTGTGTCAGTAAATGGACTTGAATCATTATTATTTAAAACAGCTAAGATCATGGCATTCTGTAATTGTGAAAAGATGGATATAGAACTGCACACCTGTAAAATCCATTGTAAGAACATATTTTAAATGTACCATATGTTCTTTTATGCTGTGTCTATTCAGACATAAGTTTAATGTACAATTGTGTGTGGATCTATTTTTTAACACGTTGAAGTGGAGAAACTGGGCAGTCTGTAGAGGTAGAATGCTTTATATATAGAAAGATATAAAAACGGTTAGGTTGTTAAATTTTCACTTATTACGGTTAGTGAATATACAGCTGTATCTTGAGTAGAAGGTTGAGATGTGGAAGCCATGTTTGACATGGGTCAGTCCAATCTGTGTTTGAACGTCTTCAAATATTTCCCAATTTGAAATATTTCCCAATTTACTGCTAATTCTTGCTCTGTCTCTCTTTCTCACTCATTGGAAGAATCAAATGGAAATCAGAACTTTCAAAACAACTGTTTGGAATTATAGATAGCATATCCAAGCCCATAAGGTAGTTAGATGTGGAGCAGTTTCCAAATATTTGCTCATGTCTAGTCTTTGAAACTGTAAAGGTTAATTTACATTGGTCTAATAAAGGTGTATGTAACTGTAGTTTCTGAAACTAGATAAATGTATGACATCACATGCTCAATGCATCAAGTATGAATCAAGTCCAATGTAATATCAATATATATGCCACTAAAAACGTTACCTGTAAAGATATAACTGATAAATATTTTTGCACATGTACTGAAAAATCAGGCTTGATACTTTCTGAAGAGAAAAAGCTAGAAATGGGTGACTGTTTCAAAGTCTACAGTGGCATTTTAAAGTGTACAGCATGCATACAGGATTTTAGAGGTAATATAGCTTACAGGGGATGACAGCTGAAACATAATTCCAGTTAAAGCCATTTTTTTTATAACAGTTGTATTATTTTATTATTTACCTTTTTATTCATGTATATCTGGCAAACAGTGTGTACTTACCCTGAAAGTGGCAAAGGAAATATAGCTTATTTATATTTTTGTCATGTCACATTAGTCCAGCACAGTTTTGTTTTTCTCTTTTTTGTTATAATCATATTGGTTTTAATGCATGAATAATGTCTGGATGGGATTATTTTAGAGGAAAAGGTCATCTGACCTCAGCTTATTGAAATACAATAATAGAACACCGGTAGAAGATGCTGGAAGGAAGATTTTAATTCTGTACCCCTTTGTAACTGCAATCTATACCCCAATCTATTTTTGTTTTGTGTAGCTATCAGCAGGTAAATTTCACCTGCTAACGTTTTATATGTCTTGAAGGCTCCAAAAGAAAGATTTATCCACACCAACCTGTCTTTTCCCCCTCCTACAAGGTGGCATGTTCTAAGTTCCCTAACTACTCATTCATACTTCATGAATCCACTGAGGAGAGTGACACCTTCATTTGGATTTTGCCAACCTGGTCGTTAATGTAAAATCTGGTGTTTTCTGCTACCGTGGTCTCCAAGATATATAAGTAGCAATCATAGAAGTCAATGTTTTAGCAACAATACAAAACTGAAATATCAGTTTCAATCCAATGTCAACTTTTTTAAACATTGGGGTCCTTTTGTAGTCATCCTTTTATCCCTATTTCAGACTATTCAAATTTGAACCAGACTATGTCTAAGTCTTATTTGACTTCTGATATTTCTTCAATGGATTTGAAAAATCTTTAGTATTGTTACTATGAAATCGCTTCTGTAATATATGCCCCTTTTTTATTTATATTTAACTTCTTTATAGTTTCATAAAGTGAGAGTGACATGTAACCACTACCTTCTGTTTACCTGATTACTGCCCTATCTCTCCACACTTCCATCATTCATTAAATCTGCATATCATCTGTATTAACAAAGAGCAGAAAAATGAAATATTATTTGAACCAAAGGATAAGAATTGTACAGAGAGCAGAGCATGTTCCCTGCAGCTAATCTGTACCAAACCAGTGCTATATTGCCTTCACATACTGCCAAGCCTGGTGAACATTCTACATGAGTATTAATTAAATATGAAAAGTTTTACATTGTGGCATTTTCTGTATAATTTTTTACCAATATAACCCAATAAAAATATTAAAAAGCAGTGAACGTATTTCTCATATTTTCATCACTCTAAGAAAGAAAATGACTGTTCTTTTCAACAGTCTAAACTCAGATTTATATTCTAAAATCTAAATTCTATAGTCCAAAGAAGGCTGGGAACAATGCTACCTGACCACAGTCAACAGAGGCAAAGAGCACAGGAAGTTGTCAATCCACAGGATCTCTGGCAAGATCAGGAGTTAAGATATTACAAAAACCCTTTCGAAGGGATATTCAACTGATATAATGAAAGGCAAACTCCACTTTAAAAAATAAAAATGGAAAAAATATTTAGCTTATATAAATGCTGTGTAAGCCTTTTT